GGATACAACATGTTGCCCTGACCGGTATAGCTCCAGTATGGCTCAGCTGATCAGGCGTCATCCCACAAAGCAAAAGGCTGCAGGTTCGATTCCTGATCTTCTCATAGGCACCCAGAACCAAATTGCAGCCTAGGTGGTTCTGGGTGCCTATGAGAAGCAACCAACTGATGTTGCTGTCTCGTGCTGATGTTTCTCTTCCTCTCCTCCTTCTTCTCTACCCCCCCAATAAATAAATAAATAAGTAAATAAAAGATACGTATTTAATAAGTGTTTAAAATGTTGTAAGAAACTAAAAAAGAAACAATTAGGTACACACACACATGCATGTTAAAAGCATATTAGAGGCACAGAAGGGGATAATCAGTGAACTAGAAATTACCAAATTAGTTAGGGTTCATTACAGTTAGAGGCTAGAGATTAACATCAGCCCAGAGAAGAGGCACAAAGGGCAGAATCCAGGAAAGTTCCACACATGGAGCTTCCAGTTGTCCTCCCCAAGGGAGTAATGGGCAGGATTCTTTTCTCACCATAGCATGTGACAGTTGGTGGGGATTTCTGCCAATCAGGGAAGCCCTGTGGGGCCTGATGTCCAGTCTTTACAGGGGCTCAATCATGTCAGCCTGGTAGGACACCATGAGCCTGACCTCAGTCTCCAGCCCCTCCAGATTTCCAGTTGACACCATGTGATCCATAGCCTCCACCCTAAATCACATTTTGGGTGTGGCTTTGACCTTAACCTTTGATTTCAATCTCTTTTCTTTCTATAACAAATGTAACCTTGAGGTAATCAAGTGTTCTGAGTTATGTCAGTCCTGTTATCAAATTTTAAAACCTGAGGGAACCTGCAACACAAAAGGAAACTTCCTTGTTTGGTAACTATATTAATAATATAGAGATATTAAATATATGCATGTATGTTACCTTTACTTTTAAGAAAATGATCTATTTGATTCATGGATACATTTTAAAGATGCGATTCCAATTATATATATATATTTATTTATTTTTATTTATATTTATTTTATATATATTTTAAATTTGAGATTCCAATTATATGTGTGTGATATATGTATATATCTCATTGATTACTAAATCTCTAGGCCCTCTTTCTTCCTTAGAGTATGGGGATGAGGTTGAAAGTTCTAAGCTTGTAATCATGGTTTGGTCTTTCTGGTAATCAGCCTCTATTAAGAAGCCCACCCATAGTCATCTTATCAGAATAAAAAGAACGCCTATCACCATCATCATTCAGGAAATAAAACTATACATAATATATAGTGCTATATATATAAATATATATGTATATAAAACTGGCCCTTGAAGAACTTAAGACTTACTTGAAAGACTGAAGGGAAAATAATGTTCATCAGTTCTGTCCCAGCAGCATAGGGGTCCTGGGCCTCAAAAGCTTCAGCCTCTCAACACAGATACACATAGGTCTCCCCAAATATAGGTCACATGACCCTATAGTCAAACCTGGAAAAGACACCACCATTTACTGATGACATGTGAGTTCCCTTAGGTCACCCAATGTTCCCAAACTTGAATGGCATTTGTTGACAAATAACCACTGATAAATGTGGGCTGAATTGTGTTTCCCAGAATCTATTTGTTCAAGTCATCGCCTCCAGTACCTCAGAATGTGACTGTATTTGGAGATGGGGTCTTTAAAGAGGTAACTAAACTAAAATGAGATCAGTAGGATGGGAACTGATCCAATCTGACTGGTGTCCTCATAAGAAGGGATTAGGACACAGCCACACATAGAAGGACAACCATGTGAAAACACAGAAAACGGAGGCCACCTACAATCCAATGAGAGAGGCCTCAGAAGAAACCAACCCCAATGACACCTTGATCCTGACCTTCCAGCCTTTAGAATTGTGAGAAATAAGTTTCTGCTGTTTAAGCTGCCCAGTCTGTGGAACTTTGTTATGACAGCCCTAGCCAACTATACAACCACCAGTTCTCCATCACCGAGCTACACAAGGCAGAGTGACCCACTAAGACCCTAAACCTTGATCTCAGTACTCTCAGTTGTCAGCCACATACAACTGTATACAGTACAGAATATGGTTACATGTACTAAGGAGAAAGGAGTGAAGATTACATGTATACAGTAAGTCCTCACTGAATGTCATCAATAGGTTGTGACTTTAAGCCAAACAATATATACTGAAACCAATTTTACCATAGGCTAATTGTAAATAAACAAGTTCCTAAGGCATCTCAACATTGTAACAAAAGGATAGTTAACAAAATGACATTATTTGAACACCTGCTGTACATGTTTCCCTATAATACATGAAGATGGAAATAGAGCATTTGGTGCCAAATAACTAAATATGCAGTTAATGTGTGGCAAACAGCACACTTAATAAGTTATAATTTTTATGAAAATGGGTGAAGCAGTAGATGATGTAAGTTGGTATGCCCTTCTTAAACAGGTCAACCTGAAGTTGTCTATCCAATGACCCCTTTTTTTAAATCCTCGCCTGAGGATATGTTTATTGATTTTAGAGAGGAAAGGTGGGAATGAGGGAGGGAAGGAGGGATAGAGAAACATCGATGTGAGAAACATCAATCTGTGGCCATCCATACATGCCCTGACTGAGGACTGAAACCGCAACCTTTCTGTGTATGGGATGACGCTCCAACCAAATGAGCCACACAGGCAGGCCCATGAATATTTTTTATTTACCTGGAATGCCAGCCTCTGAAAGGTGAGTTCAGCACCTGGTTCTCAGGGCTCAGGGCAGTCCTGGGAAGGCTATTCCAGGACCCCAACTGACAATTTTAGTGAGAAAGATGCTATAACTGTCATGATAGGAAGTGCAGATGTGCAAGACAAGACGTGAAGAGGATCCAAAGTCTGAGCTGAAGAATCTGCTTCTGATTGTTTACTGAAGAGCACCTTCCTGAATGCATCCTGTTAGAGGCCATTTATTCTTATTTTTTGTGTGTATATTTTGTCCACCAGTGTATCCTATGTCTACAACAGTGCCTGGCACAGTGCAGCTTAAAATTTGTTGCTGTGAATTACTCAAAAACCCAGAGTTTGGAATTCAATCATGAGACAGTCACTTCTTGGCAAATTACTACTCCCCCCCCACCCCCACATATAAGTAAGACTCATTATTTTTTAAGCTGGATATCTTTATCGGTTCAAGGGAAAGAACCCTGAGTATAGAAGAGAGGACAAAAACACCATTCACAGGAGATGGGGAGTGATATTGCTAGTCTCCATTCATATCAGAGGAATGGTGGTAGCTCTAAAAGGTGATAAACCTGTCAACAAATTTAAGAGTTCTTAAAGACATCCAAAGGATCTCATCTTCTGTCTTCCATTTTTAGAGTTAAGTTGTTTCGTTCCATTAGTTGGGCTTATTCTCCAGATCCTATTCCTCCTCTGATCTGCCCCTTTTATATTCTGACAGGAATCTTTTAGGATAAAAAAAAAAGTTTCTTAGAATAATGGTCCTTATAAAAAAATTTAAGAAACAAAAATATTTTAAAAGGAAAAAAGGAGAATACTGATCCTTGTAATTTATTTCCAGTAGCTCCATTCCTTCAGTGACAAAAGTAATTGATTAGTCCATTAGCTCATTCATTTGGCTTCATTCATCTTTCAGTTCTACATATTATTCATTTCTCTTTTGTTATGTTCTGGGAAATACACAATGACCTATAACTATATCAAGGACTTTATAACCTGGGTAGAAGACATGAATATTTTTTTAAAATACCCATACCCTACTTTATGTATGTAAAATTAGGTGAATCCTTTCCCTCAATCCAACAATATGCCCCTTGAACTAGAAATTATCAGGATATTTTGTTCCTTATACTGCATGTCCCTTTCAACTAACATGTATACATCCTTTGGTTACATTTGCTGGAGGGTAAAACTGCTGTATGCATAAAATCTACCTTAAAAAAGATTGTTAGTTCAGCCCCAGATGGAGTGGCTCAGTGGATTGAGTGCCGATCTGGGAGTATGAGAGGGAACTGGTCAATATATTTCTCCCACATTGATGTTTCTCCTATTTTTCTCATTCCCTTTCAATCTAAAAATTAAAAAAAAATTTTTTAACCTTAAAAGAAAATTGCTAGCTCAAAGGTCACAAGGACTTTTTGTTTAGTTCATCACTGTCATCACCTATATGTCCTAAAACAGTACCAAGCTAAAGGAAATAGTTGTTAAAGTTTTCCTGAGTGGTGTGTGAACAGGATGGGAACTATCATCTTGGGTGAAAGCTTGGCTGATAGGTTATTTGTGAGTTTTGAGCTCTGTTCCCCAGGTGACATTTATAAAGTTAACACATTCAAATATGCTGTTACACTATAGAATTAAATGTATTCAGTTTTCTTTTGAAGGACTTCAGGCATCCAAAATACAAACTGAATTTAGAACCAAAGAAATCCAAGAGCTAATCATATAATGTTCCTACATGGGAAAAAAAGACTCATGCCCCCTAAGAAGGGGGAGGGTGCACTGTGACTTCAACCAATGAAGTGCAACACAGACGACCTCCTTTAAATGAAGCAGTCTTGACATGTCAACTAGGAGTCTGATTCAAGGTATATTATCCTAAAATGTACACTATGCCTATTATCTGATGGAGAATTATGTTAAAATTGTGACACAAACCCCTAAAAACTTCTTCATCCTCACAGGCCTTATTTCCTTTTTGCATTTTCTGATATTTTGCTGAAGATGTGCCATTTAGTGTGTCCAGTTTTATTTCTAGGATTTCCTCTGCCAATGGATGAGGCAGCATGTACTACTGACAACCCTGCCACAAACAATGCCTTCAAGGGTCCGGCAATTTCTCTCTTCTGTGAACTCTCTGCCACTTACTGAAAAGTCTTATTTCTGGAAAAGGATTTCTCCCGGTCATTATATTTCTGCCAACTATAAGCTCATTCGTGACATGTGATACATGAAGCAGCACTGATAAGATCTATCACTCCATGACTCTCCCAGTCACTGTATGCACATTTGTCTCAGTATACACTTGTCAGCCATATAATGAGCTACAAGGCTTTATTCAAGGGTCTTCCACCTTGATTGCATCACAGTTTACTCCTGTGTGCTTTTTGTGACATAAAACATGACATAATTGGTCACTGAAGGTACTATCACATTCACTGCATTCGTAAGGTTTCCCTGTGCTAGTTTTGTACTCTGTTGAGGGCATGTCTCTGGCATCTGGCTGTCCCACAGTGGTCATGTTCCCATGTGCTACAAACCCACTGATGTGTAAGGACGTCTGAGCTGCCATAGGAGGTATGTGCACAGTCACTGTATCAATAGGGGTCTTCTCCTGTATGATGTCACTTGAATGTAACGAGCTGTGATTCTTTGAAAAAGGGTCTCCCAACTTGACTGAACCTACACATTTCTCTCTTGCATGCAGCATTCCCTTATGATATACAAGGCATGAGAGATGGGAGAAGGCTTTCCCACAATCAGAGCACCCGTAGGGTCTCTCTCCTGTATGAGTTCTTCGATGTCTATTGAGGCATGATTTATCTCTAAAAGCTTTCCCACAATCGCTGCAAGTATAGGGTTTCTCCCCTGTGTGAATTCTCTGATGGTTAATGAGACCTGATTTGTGTGAACAGGATTTTCCACACTCAGAACACACAAAGGGAGTCTTTCCAGTGTGAAATCTCTGATGGGATATGAGGCAAGTTTTCTGGCTAAAGCCTTTTCCACACTCAGTGCACACATATGGTTTCTCTCCAGTGTGAGTCCGTTGATGTATAAGAAGATTGCCCTTCTGGATGAAGCCTTTGCCACATTCGTTGCATATATAAGGTTTTTCCCCAGTGTGAATGCGCCGATGTACAATGAGATTACCCTTCTGAATGAAGCCTTTCCCACAGTCACTGCATATATATGATTTCTCTCCTGTGTGAGTTTTCTGATGGGCATTGAGCTGTGATTTCCAGCGGAAGGTTTTGTCACATTCTGTGCATTCATAAGGTTTTTCTCCTGTGTGAGTTCTCTGATGTTCAATGAGCCTGGACTTTCTGGAAAAGGCTTTGTCACACAGACTGCACCCATGGGGCTTCTCTCCTGTGTGAACTCTCTGATGATTAATGAGCCGAGATTTCTTGACAAAGCCTTTTCCACATTCATCGCATACATAGGGTTTCTCTCCTGTGTGAGTTTTCTGATGAGTAAGTAGCCGTGACTTCTTGGGGAAGGCTTTGTCACATTCAGTGCACTCATACCGTTTCTCTCCTATATGAGTTTTTTGATGTTCAGTGAGCCTGGACTTCCTGGAGAAGGCTTTCCCACATATGCCGCATCCATGAGGTTTCTCTCCTGTATGAACTCGTTGGTGGTCGATGAGGCGAGACTTCTTGATGAAGTCTTTCCCACATTCACTGCATATATGGGGTTTATTTATCTTTTGAGGTCTTTGGTGCTTAATGAATTGTGAGGGGATATTTATAGAATTTCCACATTCAGGAAATTTTATTTCGGTATGACATTGCTCATCCTTTGCACAGAGGAAGGATTTCGCCTCTTCATTAATCTTAACTGGGTTCTTCATTTCACAGTTTCCATTCTGGTTGGCCAAACTTATATTCGATATCAACACTTTCCCATGTAAGTCAAATATATCATGATTTTGCCTTAAAAGAAAATTATTTTTACTCCAATGAATGATGCTTCCAAATGCATTATTATGTTCATGGCACTGTTTTGTTCTCTTAAGACATCTTTGATTTTGGATGTGTCCTTGTAGATGACTGTCATTCTTCTTGATTTCTAGGAAAGAAGAGAAAAATGAGCTTGGTATAGAATAAAACTATTTCACCAACAGCTCAGTGTAGACTGGCATTTTATTGACAACACTGTGATCTTGGATTAAAGAAGGTCCAAGTACATGTGTTTCCTATCACTTAGACCTGGGTAAAACACAATAACATAAACAAAGAAAATAAAAGGTGAAAATAGTCATTGTATAAACAGGATTAGTTCATTCAAAATGAGTACATACAGATTTGGTTGCTTTCAGAATACGACCTCATAAAGCATGCTGAGATAGGAACATAAAATCAAGTTCCTATCAGCACTCAAGCACAGAAGATAGGTATTTGTTTCAACATGATGTGGGACACAGTCATATATCCATAAATCTTTATTAAGTGATGACTATGTACCATGCCTTGTGCTGGTCATGAGCATATAGAAACATTCCTTATTTTCACCGAGCATCCATTGTGGCTAGGAAAATCTGAACAAGAAAGCAATGATAAAGAAGACAAGTACAAATTGCGGAAAGTGGTTTGAGGGAGCAATGGAAAGCAAGGCGGAAGAAATTGGGATATAATCTAGAGAGAAGAAAAAGACAGGGCTCTCTCATGGCTTCAACATGGAGCAATTAAGAAACAGAAGAATCAGGTATTATTCCTAATTATTTGACTTGGGCCACTGAATAGGTAGGTGGTGCCTTTTCATGAGAAAGAGAATATTATGGAAGTTCTCAATGTGGGGAAATCAAGTGTGCATTTGAAAGCATATCAACATTCAAGTAGCTTTTAGATATCCAATACAGACACAAAGGACTCAATTGGATATAGAAATCTTGAGAAAGGTTTTAACTGGAGATAGCAATGTAGAAATCATTAGCCTATAAATATTATATAAGACAGAGGACCAGATGAGATCATGTTTGAAAAAATGTGCAAACTGAAAAATGAAGGCATGGGATCAAGTTTACGGTTAGTGTAACATTAAGAGTTTGGGTTTTAAGAAGTCCACAGAGGAGCACTAAACTCTATATTGTTAAAGGAAATGAGCATTCCCACACTCGGAAAACTATTAGGGTTTCATGTCAGGAACCAAATATATATTTCTTTCATCACGATATCACACTAGGGAACTGCCACCTTTCCAGTCACACTTTGTAATTGTTCAAATGCAATATTTTAACTGTTCCCATTTCTATGTCATGATCCAAATCCACATCTGATGTAATTATCCCCAAACCCACCATCTTGCTGCTAACTGCATCTTCTTTCAAAATTCCACACAGACATCTGGGTTTCCACCATTTAAGGGGTCCTAAAGGATCACACTGCTTACTGAACGAAGACCCTTGGCAGTTTAGCCTTCCATTTTTCTTCCTTTTCTAGAACTACTGGGTGTACTTTCCTATTGTTACACTGTTGTCACTGAGTTCAAAAATGAGATTACATATCTAATGATAACATAAATCAAACTCCCAAACACAGCCATTCTATCTCAGTCACTAACAAAATCCGTAACAGTTAGCCTGGAAATAAAAGTTACATTACCAATGATTATCCCTCTTATCCATGTTACTAGTTCTCTTAAGTATCTCTAGAATTGGCCTTTACACATCAGGCTTTGGGCCAATCTCATGACAGGGCACATTTCCAACTGGACACCTCCATCCTTGGCCCTTCGTCCTTACTTGAGTCCCAGATACGCCTCCTGTATATCGCGCTATCATTCCCCCGTTCAATGTCACTATAAACTGTTTCTCCTAAATTTCTCAATATTCCCTGTCTTTACTGTTCATGTTGACAATTAACTTTACACAGCCCTGAAATGTAGCAGAAGCTGAATGTCTATTACACGCAGATGTCTCCTCTATTTGTTACTAAAATTTTACTCCTAAAATGTGTTGCTTTATTTCTCACTTAATTAAATCTCTTCTAGCACCTGCTAGGGATGTGGTTCACCAGCTAGGCTCAAGAGGGCCTCCTTTCAGCATTATATATACACTAGCTCAGGCTGTAACCTCAAAGCTAACTAAAACACACTCTCAAAAGAAGAGGTCCTGGGACACGTATTAAGAAACTATGCATTTAACAAGTATTCTTTCTAATGGCTACTTGTCCAAGTTCTGCTTACTCTGTACTCACACCATAGGATACTTCCTTCAGTCCATATTTCTACCTCTCGTGTTAAACTCTCCCTGAACTCAGATATATCCAAAGGCAGCGGAGTGCTCCACTTGGATGTGAACAAGTATGTCTAAATTAGTGTCCAACCCACATCTCCTCTCCCACACATCATCTTTATCTTGGGGATGGCAACTCCACCCCTGGGATTCGTGCCCAAAACGTTACCATCATCCTTTATTCGTATTTTTCTCTCACACCCTTTGTCTACTTCATTAGGAAATCATTTCTACCCTCCTTTTATTTATTTTTTAAAAATGTTTATTTATTCATTTTTAGAGAGAGAGGAAGGTAGGGAAACATCAATTTGTTGTTACTCTCATTTATGCAGTTCATTCATTGATTCTTATATGTGCTCTGACCAGGGATTTGAACCCACAGCCTTGGTGTACCAGGACAATGCTCTAACCAACTAAGTTACTGGGTCTGGGCCCTGCCCTTCTTTTAAATACACTGAGAAGCTGACCACACCTCACCCTTTGTACCCAGGCTGAGACAAGCATTCTGTCTTGTACCATAGCAAACAGGCTTCCAACTGGATTCCAGCCTTGACCTCTGCCCACAACCATCTACTTTCTACAAAGTAACCACAGGGATCATTTTAAATATAAATTACATTGTGTAACCCTTCTACTGAAACCTCTCAAATGTTTTTTCATCTTATTATTTTAAAAAATCAACTTTCTGAAATGTCCTTGGAAGGTCCTACATGGCATGTCCACTCTAAAACCTAGCTACCATATCACTCTAAAACCTAGCTACCATATTGCCCTATCTCCATATTCTCTCCATCCACTGTCCCCTTCGTCCACCCCAAGTACTCACACAGGCTTCCTTTAAGTTCTTCTCAGGCCCTTGAAACTGCCATTTTGTCTACTTTGGAATGCAATTCACCTATGAGACCTAATCACACCCCTTATATACCTGCTTAAAGGGATCTTACCAAAGAACCATTTCCCTCCCTAGGTGACCAAAGATTGAAGGGCCTAAGCTAGATTCCTGGCTGCTAACAGCAGCTCCCAGCCCTCTTGCACACAATTTCCTTTTGCTGTTTGACTGATCTTCTCAGCAGTTTTCACCACAAGGCATAATATTTATATAGACTTATTCTGATGAATTTTGTGTCACCACCTTTTAGAATATAATCTCTGAGCATGTGTAATAGGCCACCCACTAACATTTAAGGCCATTAAAAATATTTAAGGCAATGGACCAAGAAAAGATTCTCATGTATGGAAAATAGTGCAATGGTTCTTTTAAATATAGTTGACCTTGAGTTTAGGGTGGTGGGGAAAGTAAGCTGTATAAGCAAGATGAGACCATCTCATGGAAGTTGTTGACAAAAGAGAAATTTCCATCTCATACGACTAGGATGAATTGGGACTTAATGTCATCAGACTATCATAAGGAAAAGGAAAGCTTTAAGAAAATGAATCCAGCGACATCATTTAAGATAAACTAAAAGGATGATCAGAGTTAACAATTATACAAGGAAATTAAAACAACACAGGCATGAGAGTTAATAACATGGTTTGGGTTGGAAGCAGAGAATGAGAAATTTTAAGAAATCAACAAGAATGGCAAAGACTTTGAATAAGGGAGCTGAGGCGGTAGGCCAGCATCTAGGAACTAACACGTTCCTGGCACAGAGCTCTTAAAACCCTCTTAAGACATAAAAGAGCATCTTTTGTTCTAATATTTGGTCTTTGACCTGGTTCCTGACAGAGCTCCTAAACCCTCTGGAATTTCCCCTGTAATCACAGTGTCTTTTGTTCTAATTGGTTGACTCTGGGTGGCTTCCTGGATGGGAGCTGGTCACCAGAAAGACTAAGCCACGATTAAAAGCATGGAACTTTCAGCCCCACCTCCCATTCTCTGGAGGGGGGTTGGAGCTGGAAATGAAGTTCATGGTGGATCATGCCTGCGAGAGGAAACCTCCATAAAATCTCAAAGATATAGGGTTTGGGGAGCTTCTGGGTTGGTGAACAAGGAAGGTGCTGGAAGAGTGGCACCTGGAGAAGCCATGGAAACTCCATGCCCCTTCCCACATGCCCTGCCCTCTGCATCTCTCCCACTTGGCTATTCCTGAGTCATATCCTTTTATAATAAACTGGTGATCTAGTAAGCAAAATGTTTCCCTGAGTTCTGTGAGCCGCTGTAGTAAATTAATGGAACCCAAGGAAGAGGTGACTGGAACCTCTGATCTAAAGCTAATGGTCTGAAACACAGGTGACAGCCTGGACTCGCAATGAGCATTTAAAGTGCAGTGGGGACAATCTTGCAGAACTGAGCCCTTAATTTGTAGGACTGGATGCTATCTACAGGCAGAATAGTGTCAGAATTGAGTTAACTTGTAGGACACCCCCCGGAGTTCCAGAGAATTGCTTGTTGTGGGGAGAAGTGTTGTGAACGTGGCAGTGTGTGAGAGTAAAGGAGAAACACAAGAGGAGGACTGAGCTTTTTCCAACTCCACCAGGATAGATACCAATAACAGCATGTACTACAGACTGAATGTTTACATCATGCCCACAGTTACGTTAAGATCCCAACGCCCAATCAAAGATGGGGTGAAAGTTAAGAAAGGGAAACAACTTTATCTAAAGGGGGAAGAAGGTGCTGTTGTCGGAAGACAGTGTTATCATACATCTCTCCTTGGACAGAGACATGGAAGATGGAATTTCAGAGTAAGAAAAGTACAAGGGCCCTGGCTAGTGTGGCTCAGTGGATTGAGTGCTGGCCTGTGGACTGAAAATTCACCGGTTTGATTCCCAGTCAGGGTACATGCCTGGGTTGTGGGCCAGGTCCCCAGCTGGTGGTGTGCAAGAGGCACCTGATCAGTGTTTCACTCACATGTTGCTGTTTCCCTCTCTTTAAGAATAAATAAATAAAATTAACAACAACAAAAAAAAGAAAAAGTAGAAGGAAGAGGTACTGATATAAAGGTAGGGAAGGATGGTGAGACTGAGAATTTTAAGAAAAACCTAGAGAAAAAAAATCAAAACGTAGATGAAATAAATAGAGATCAAATCCAAGAAGAGATACATTCCTCTAAACATGTCGAAGAAGAAGAGCTCTTTTATGGAAGACTCATGGAGATTCTGTTCACATGTCCTCAGACAACCCTCACAGCTGTGACACCTCGGAATGACTAGAATAGGACTTCCTCAGCCGCCCTCCTTGCTGGTTCTCTCTCACTCACCTGAACAGATTCCACTGCGGGATTCATCTTCTATTGTCCACGGTTCCCCTCGCTCCAATCTGGACAGTGTGTCTGGCTTCCTGGCTGGATACCCTGTTCATGTAAAGTGACAGAAGAGATAGGGCTCTTTGAATTGGGCTTTGGTCTGCCAACAAAGAACAAGCTTATATTTTAGGAACTATGCAGCCTGCAGGTCAGCAAATCTTTTTCTCTGAAGAAGGACACATTATGCCCTCTCACCTGGGACCAGAAAGGGGACTGCGACTTAACTACCACTTCAGAGCATCACAGATACTTCAGATCTTTCAGAGGCTAAGAAAGGCCACTAACACGGCATCTTCTGAGTGACACAGGGGAGCTGTCCTCACCCACTGACACCAGGTTGCTGTAGTTCTCCAACATCACATCCCTGTACAGATCCTTTTGATCGGGGTCCAGGAGCTGCCATTCCTCCCAGGTGAAGTCCACAGCCACATCATGAAACGTTAGTGATTCCTGTAAAAACACGGTCCTATTTAATAGGAGTGTTTCTCTGTTATTGAAATAGAAGAAATGCAAAGGAAGTTGTCCTGCTCATTTCTACCATATATAGGCTATATCTACATATTGTAATTAAGTGTTTTGATTTTGTTTTTTAGATTTTATTTACTTATTTTTAGAGAGAGAGGAAGGAAGAGAGAAAGAGGGAAAGAAACATCAATGTGTGGCTGCCTCTGGCACCCACCACCATGGACCTGGTCCACAACCCAGGTATGTTTCCTGACGGGGAATTGAACTGGTGACCGTCTTTGCAGTCTGGTGCTCAGTCCACTGAACCAGCCAGGGCAAGTGTTTTGATTTTTTAAAACTACAATGTTATAGAAGTAAGATCTATCCATATTCAAAATCAACCTCTAGTAAAATTTTCTCTAATCGTTCAGTCAACCATCATGCTACAAATCAGATATTTATGTAATAATTAGTTATTAAATACTCTAGGAACATTTACAATATACATATTTGAAACATTTGCTATTTATATACAGCAATTATATATAGCATTTGATATATACATAATAACACATATATATTTTGAAAGGTACATATTTGCCAGGCATTACATACATTTATATATATATATTTATATTTGTATTTATATATATAAAATATACATGTGTGTGTATATATAGCCTTTTACATGTATATTTGTGCCATATATATATTTATATTTTAAAGGCACATATTTGCCAGGCATTAAATTTACGCCAGCAATCAGAGTGAATAAAACATATTCCATTCCCACATTCACTGTCCATCTTGATAGCCATTATCAGAATCAACCACAAGAAAATGCAGACTGTATCACTGCAAGACACTACACATTAAATAAGTATATTTTATATGTTAGGAGGAAGAAAGCACCTTTCCAAAACATGTCCAAAAAACAAAATGCTATTAAAGTTCATTAAGCAGACTAAGAAAATAAATAGCAGCCTTCATAAAACACAAATGTTGTCACATGCCACATAACAATGTTCCAGTCAACAACAGACCACGTATATGATGGTGGTAGACCATACAGACCAGGTGTGCAGTAGGCTATGTGACCTTGGTCTAAGCGCCTTTATGATGTTTATATAATTAAGTTGCCTAATGATGCAATTCTCAGAATGTATGCTTGTGATGAAGTGGCACACGACTGATATTAGTATATATATATTATGTGTGTGTGTGTGTGTGTATGTATGTGTGTGTGTGTGTATATATATATATATATATATATATATGTAATTTATATTCACATAACCAGGCAGTTTCACAGCACATCAACTACACTGAAGAGATAATGAACTGGAAGGTGACTATCAGAAAGAAATTACTCAAAATGCAGTAAAAGGGCATGGTAGTGAAATACATAAAAGACAGAAGAATAGACCTAGAGGCAAGAGTGAGGTCCAACATTTACCAATCCAGTTTATGAGAGAGTAAATATATTAATTGGAAGGCACTATCCGAAGATCTAAGGGCTGAGACAGATGCATCTGTCCATATCTATACGGACATAGATGTATACACAGGTACAGTGACAAAAAGTACACATTACTGCCCATATGTTAAACTGCATTAGGGGATGAGGGAAGAAACATAAGAAATCTTACTTTTTCGCTGTATGTACTTTGTAATCCCTAAAGTTTTAAAAATGTATCCACGTACGGTCGTATGATGAAAGTTTTTAAAAGTAATAAAAGGTGAGGCAGTAGGAAGTAGCTTTGAACACAGGAAAGAGCGTACTATCTTAGAGAGGAGGAGGTAGCAAAGGAAACCCTTTGGGACCTCAACAACTCTAGCAGACAACAGCATTCTCCTCTGCCTACTGCTAAACCTGAACTCAAACACCAGTTCAACCACGTGGTCACACAGGACCTTTAAACGTCATATAATCCTTCCATTTTCTTAGATCATCTAGGTTTTATTCTTAGATTAACCCTGACTGCTGCAAGGCTGGGTCCATGGGTCAGCCTGCTATGGTCCCGCAAACTGTGTGAGTTCTCATGGTCTATTTGTGGCCTGTTTTCAAAGGGCTCTCTGAGGAGCCCTGCTTTTGCATTGTGAGAAAAGTGAAGTTAAGGCGACACTGTCTACCATGGTAGCTCTAGGAAGAACCATAAAAAAAAGTCCTAAGACCTAAGTGTCTGAAATATATGGTGACATCCTCTGAGGAACTGGGCTGCTTTCTCCTCCACCTCAGGGCACAGCCTGTCTTCATCATGATTCTCTGGTTGTGAGAACTGTCAGGGGTACCTGACAAAAGGGGACAGTTAATGTAACCTGCAGGATGCTCTAATCACATGACGTTCCAACATTAGTCATTTAGACGGAATCCCAGGAACAATATATTCCTGATCCTACTTACCTTGATGTTGAAGTGAGAGGCTAATTTTTTTTCTACTTTGCCAATTCATACTCTGCCATTTAACTGAATTGTGTTTTAATATCCTCCAGAAAACAATCACAGAATGAAGGAAGGAATAAAACAAACTAAAAGTCACCTGGTCCTTAATCATTTTCTTCTGTTATTCAGAAATGGCCAGTACCGAGGATGCTGTGTCCTTAGTCTCTTCTTTAACTGAGATTTCTAACCAGAAATCTCAGTCTGCGGTCAGTGGTGTCCCCGCAAATGATGATATCTAGGTCCTGAAACTGCCTCCTCAGGTCATGTGATGGATCTTGTTTCTCAAGTCAGGACCTGTGTGCTAAAAAGTAAATTTACTTTGTTTATTGATTTTAGAGAGAGAAAGGAAGGGAGAGGGAAAGAGAGAAACATCGATTTGTTGTTCCACTTATCGACGCACTCACTGGTTGATTCTGCCGTATGTCCTGCCTGGGGATCGAACTTTGGTGTATGGGGGCAATGCTCTAACCAATTGAGCTACCCAGTCAGGTCTGAAAAACGAATTCACTTTGAGTGTACATTTCCTCTGGGCCCAGATGTTGTCACTGCTACTGTCACTTGTCTGATTTCAAGGCCATCTGTCCCTTTATTTGAAGCTCCAGAGTCTATTCCACTCTAGAGCAACAAGACCTAAGATCCTGAAAGTGCAGGCAGTATGCCTTTCTTCTGTGAAGTCAAAGTACAGTGTCTGTGAAAGGGGAGATGGGAGAGGGAACGAGCACTATGTGATGCCCTTGCAGCAGGGACTTCTCACACAGACCAATTTTTGGACAGAGACATATAAAAGGCAAGGATCTGGATATCTGTTTCTTTAAAACTGTATGTGTTCATTAACCTGTAGACAAGTCTCTGTACAACTAATGTATAACCACACCTCAGTGCGAAGACAAATATACTAAGCCAAACGCTACCTAACCATTTCACCAATTGTTATGTGAGCCAAAGGAAAACAAATAGAAAAAAAATTAAAGCAAAACTATTACTTGTGGATATGTACACACTTAGTAACAGTACAAAAACATGCATTGTTTAAAACAAGTTTAAGAAAGTGCACTTTAAGATGAAAAACCCCACTGAATGGCAACAGCAGAGGAGGCGGATCCAAGGGCCCATTCTGCCACAGAAACGTCAAAACATTAAGTGAGAACTGTCAGCTTCAAAAACAAAATGAAAACTGTCAGAACTCTGAATCAACCACAGTGAACACTGGGTGAAGAAAAAGGCAACTTACAAATGGGAGCAAAGCCTGGTGCCATTTTTGTTTGTCCTTGCTGCACCCCCTCCCCAGGCTGGGGGTGCTGAGATGGCAGCCAGCATTCCCCGTGTGGGACCTGGCTCCTGGTCTGGAAGGAAGAGAGCAAACCTGACTGGAAAAGAATGGGCCGGGTGCTGGAACCTCCCTGAGCCCTACCTCGAGGACTGGCTCAGTGTGCTCGTCTCCATTCCACCTAATTTGGAACCCAGCAAGGAAAAGCAGCAGGACTGTGTTAAAAACACTGTACAGAGGATGAGCAACCTGCAGCTGCCTGGAGAAAAGATTACAGTTCAGACACTGTCACCACCGTCATCAAAACCTGAAAGGTTGAAAGGAAGGCTGGGAAGGCAGTTTCTTTTCATTCAAAAGCACCAGTGTACACAGGGGAATTTATAAAGTCATGTACATGCACAGGGCAGGATGCCTGCTCAGGGGAGGCCCGAGAAGACTCGAGGCTTTCCTCTGGCTGACCTCTACCCTCTGTGTAAGCAGGAAATGAGGGCTAAGGCCGAGTTGTAAACAGCCTGGCTAAGCAATGAAGGAGCACGCCAGGACACAATGCACAACCATGAACACATCATACTGAGCGAAAGAAAGCAGGCACAAAAGATTGCATACTATGTGATTCCACTAATATGAAATGTCCAGAATAGGTACATCCATAGGGATGGAAAGCAGACTGGGGTTGGCAGGGTCTGAGGAGAGGGAGAATGTGGAGTGACTGCTTAATGGGTACAGGGTTTCCTTCTGGGGTGACAAAAATGTTCTGGGACTAGACAGAAGTTGTGGTTGTACAACACTGTGAATAAACTAAAGAAGCCACTGTGAACGTACTACAGAAGCCACTAAAGAATGTACTAAAGAAATAGAATGCACTGAAGAATTGTTGACTTTAAAATGGTTAATTTTATGTTTTGTGAATTTCACCTCAATAAAAAAATCAAATACATCCTATATATGTCCAGTGAAACAATATAAATACTTTCTTTAAAGCCAAGAATAAGGCAAGATGGGAAGTATCACCGATATTATCTATTACTATTCTGGAAATGTGACCCCGCTAATTTGATGAAGAACTAAGTAAAAATAATCAACAACAGAAGAGAAAGCAAACTATAAGAAGTTCCCTAATATGACTAAAAGTCAGAGTTTCAGAGATTTGAGTGAACACATGCCAAAAGTAAGTTTTTAGTCAGATGGCTGATTACAAAATTTATATCTAAAAACTGGTAACATTCCAAAACACATACTTCTTATAGCAGTGTTGCGTGACCAAATATTTTGGGGGAATAGTTACACTCTGCTGAATACTTCCAATAGAGATATTACTAGAATATGAAAATCCACTTCTAGAAATTTTTGCAAAGGAAACAATGACAAACACATGCAAAGCTGATGTAAAAGTGTTATTCAAGTCTATTAGTAGAGGATTAACTGAATGAGGAAAAATACGCACATCTAATGATATACTATGCAATTACTAAAAATGCTAACAATGTCCCAGTCAGGGCAGATTGTTAGCATTCTAACAATCTAATGTTAGATTGTGGCTCTAACTAATGTTAGAATGTTAGGTTGGTTGCGTGTGGCTCAGTTGGTTGGGTGTTATCCCGCAATGTGAAATATTGCTGGTTCAATTCCTAGTCAGGGCATATGCCTGGGTTGCAGGTTCAGTCCTCAGACAGGGTATGTGCCAGAGGCAACTGATCAATGATTCTTTCTCACTTTGATGTTTCTCTCCCTTTCTCCCTTCCTTCCCTTTTCTCTAAAATTAAATAAAATCTTTTTTTAATGCTCACGATCTATATTTAGTTAAAAGATATGTACCTTGATGTACAACATAAGCACATGAAAACAAGTTGAACATCATAAATCTGAGAAATGCAGATCAAAACCACAATTGACATACTGCTTCACAACTGCTAGAATGGCTATGATAAAACCCTGAAAATAGCAAACATTGGTGAAGACGTGGAAGAACTAGAACCCTCATGCACTTCTGGTGGGAATATAAAATGGCACAGCTACTTTGGAAAACAACGTTCTTCAAGTGATTAAATACATTCAGTGCTCACCTCACTGAAGTTTTATGAGCTACTCTTTTCGTCAAGATTTTATTATGAAAAGTTTCAAATGTATAGCATAAAGTTTGAAGAATTTTACATTTGAGTACTTTTATGTCTATCACATAGATTTTACAATGATTGTTTCTTTTATTACCTATCTATCTATATGTCATTCCTCTACTCATCATTAATCTATCCCTAGTCTTTAAGATGGGGAGAAGGAGGACTGAGGGAGAGAGATGGGGGAGGGGGGGAGGGGAAAGTTGTGGTGGGAAGGCGGAGACAAATGTATTTGAACAACAACAAAAAAAGATGGGCAGGAAAATATGCCTGTCCTCATTTATAATATGACTCAGACATTTTACTCCAGACTTATACACAAGAGAAGTAAAAACATGTCCACACAAAACCTTGTACACAGAAGTGTATAGCAGCACTATTTATAACAGTCTAAATGTGGAAACAACCCAAATATCTGCCAGCTGAAGGGACATATCCACACAATGGAACAGTATTCAGGTATAAAAACAGATGAAGTACACATACATGCTACCACATGGGTAAACCTCCAAAACATGATGCTAAGTGAAAGGAGCCAGTCACAAAAGAGCACATATTATATGATTGCATTTATATGCAATGTCCAAAATAGGCAAATCTAGAGGGACAGGAAATGGTTGCTTAGAAATGGGAGGAATGGAAGGATAGAGGTGGTAACTAGAGGGCAGAGGGTGTCTTTTTAAAAATTCACTGTGCTGATGGTTGGACATAACCATGACCACAGTAAGAACCATTGAATTGTATACTCTCAATGGATGAATTGTATGGTATGTGACTAATAAAGTTGTTATTTAAAAAAAGTTGAGTAGAACTATAATTATATGCTTACTGAAATATCTAGGGGGAAATATATAAAAGTGTACAACTTTGAAATACATTTTTTTAAATGTAAAAAGATGGGTTAATGACAAGCAAAGTTGTGCTATATGAATAGATATGTAATAAAAGAAACAATAAAATCATGATAAATCCTAGGTGATAGGCATATAGGTATTCAAATGTAAAATTCTTTAAACTTTGCTGTATGTTGGAAACTTTTCATAATAAAAGCATGGGGAACAGGGAAGCTTATAATAATAAGGGTTCAGTGAGGTGAGCAGAAGCAAAATTAAAAAAATGTTAATGTAATTGCTCTTCTATGTAATAGTAAATTGAAAGAACAAAAAGGTCAAAAGCAAAAAGACACCATTCACAACAGCAAAAAATTTAAAAATCAAGGTGGAGATGAGGGACAGGGAACCACACCCTTAAGTAAATGCAGAATCACAACCTGTTCTTAAAAGTGACAACTGAATATTTAAACATTTAAATTCTATCTAAATGAAAGCACACGTTGAGTGATCCTAGTCATAATGGCATGCGTTTGTCTATTATAATGTTGACAGAAAAATTTTAAAAGCAATAATTAAGGGAAAAATGTATGTGTTTGTTACATGACCGTATATGATGTGAAATTAAATGATGAGGCAAATTATACCAATGTTTCAGCGATTTATTGAAATTGTGAAAATCAAACATTAAAAAAGCGAAGACTAAAAGGAAAATAAATGAAAAATTTAACAAACGATAGCATTGGAGAACAAAATTGGGGTAATCGAGGTGTTATTTTACTTGTGTTAGAATGATGCTGAAAGTATCTATCAATGCGTGTATGTGTCACATACAGCAAACTTGTAGGAAGGGGAAAATTCGCATTTTAGTAGAAACCTGACCATTTCAGATGTGCTTAATCCTCCTCCACCAACAAGCTGTCATGTCAAGGTAAAAGGGGAATGTGGGAAGCCAAAGATTTGCGAGGTAGCTACCGTTTGAACCTCACCCCACCCACCAACCAGCTTCAGCTCCACAAACCTCTCAACGACGGACACATGTGGACCTTCCCAAACACTGGTCACTCCCCATCAGCACAATGACGAAACCTGGTCCAGTCCCGGGGTTCGCGGGCCATAGCCCTGGCTCCTGTCATTGAGCCGCATCTTACATCCCGAATCCGAACAGACACTGCTTTCACTGTCCAAAACCAGTCCCCACCG